GGTGAGTGTAAGTTATGTAAGGCTGGTGGCGAGAGGTGGGTGGTAGAAGGATACGTGGTGAGGTGGAGGGGTGTGATGAGGTGAGTGAAGGCTGGGTGAGGTAAGAAGGCCGGTGGAGTGTGTTAGTTGTGAAGGCGTGGGAGTGTGTTAGGCAGAAGGCCGTGAGAGTGTGTTAGTTTGTAATGGTGCAGGTGTTATTGTGAATGTCGTGGTGAGTTGGTTTTAATGTCGGGTGATGGTTATTGTGGTGGCAGTGTTGTTGGTTTTGAAGGAGTGTGTTAGTTGGTGAATGTCGTGGGTGAGTGTGGTCAGCTGTGAATGCCGTGGTGGTGTGTTAGTTTGAAGGCCGTGGTGAGTGTGTTAGTTGTGGAGGCCGTGGTGAGTGTGTTAGCCAGAAGGCCGTGGTGAGTGTGGTCAGGAACAGTGAGAGTGTTAGTTGTGGTGACAAAAGAGGCCAGTGAAGCGTGGTGAGTGTTAGTTGGTGCCGTGGTGGGTGTGTTGGTTGAAGGGGTGGTGGGAGGTGTTAGTTGTGAAGGGTGTGGTGTGGGTTATTGTACGTTGTGGTGCGGTGTTATTGGTGGCGCGTGATGAGTGTGTTGGTGGCCGTGTGGTGAGGTTAGGTGTGGCCGTGGTGAGGTGTTAGTTGGAATGTGGTGAGTGTGTTAGTTGTGAATGCCGTAGGTGTGTTAGCCAGAGGTTGTGGTGAGTGTAAGCCGTAGGCTGTGGTGATGTTGGGAAGGCCGGAGGAGTGTTAGTTGTGAAGGCCGTGGTGAGGTAGTAGCAGAAGGCCGTGGTGAGTGTGTTGGTTGTGAAGGCCTGGTGAGTGTTAGTCAGAAGGCCGTGGTGAGTGGTTAGTTGTGAAGGCCGTGGTGAGGTGAGATTGTGAAGGTGGTGAGGTGTGAAGGCCGGGAGTGTGTTAGTTGTGAAGGCCGTGGGTGAGTAGGCAGAAGGTGGTGAGTTAGTTGTGAAGGCCGGTGAGTGTGTTATTGTGAAGGCCGTGGCGATGATGGTGGAGAGTGGGTGTGAAGCCAGAATGTGGGTGAGTGTAGGTTTAGCTGTGGGGCTGTGGGTGAGGTGTGTTGAGTTGTGTAGGGCCGTGGTGAGTGTGTTAGTTGGTGTGTTAGTTGTGAAGGGTGTGGTGAGTGTGTTAGTTGTGAAGGCCGTGTTGAGTGTGTTAGTTGTGAAGGCCGTGGTGAGTGTGTTAGTTGTGAAGGGCCTGGTGAGTGTGTAAAGCGAAATGAAAGGGCCCGCAATCCTTCAGATGAAGTGTTGCCGATAATTATTTATGCTTTTTCGTCAGATAATACAAAATAATCCCCAGATTATCGCAAATTTTCTCATAAAATTTGCTAAAAAGTAGCTGGACTTAATCGAGGGATTTTAATCTGGCTAACGCCAGGGGATTTTATTCAGCTGAGGGAAACACCTACCTTACAATGTAATATTGGATTCGAAAAACCATAATCTGAGAGTAAAAAAAACAATCCATTCTGGGGAAAATTTCATACTTTTTTAATCTCCCCTTTTTAGAAGTGATTTTACTGCATGAATATTTATATATTTTTTCCGTTAGTTGTAAGTCGAGCTCAATTAAAGAGTGAGGGCGGGGGGTAATCAATATGATGTCCCTCCTGTATAAAACTGGGGGACATGACCCTCTCGACCTCCAAATCGATGCCCATAGGCGTGGTGAGTGTATTAGCCTACCTTTTTGAAGCCTCAAGTCATATTAAGTTTTGTAAAGGTAAGACTTGTATGACTTCCATCTAAATCAGTGTATTATGTACTTTAAGAGAGAGAGCATTATTTACCTACGTGTCATTATTTACCTTAAAAGATACACACAGTATTAATTTGGAGACAATTCCTGAAAGGTGGCTTAAAAGTGAGGGCAGGGATACCTATCTGTTACAAGCATACAATCTGTATAGCCCTATAGGAACATCCTTCTTAACCATGTTGCCGCCCTGGGATATGTTTCTAGGCTGATTTATGCATAAAACTGTAAGGAAACCCTATTATTACTCATAATGGCGCTTTTCAAAGCAACGCAAGTATGACAACTATGGTGGTCACTGTACAGTACTGTTACTTTTATTTTGTTTTTCTCACAAACATTAATTACGAAACCAATCTAAGATGTAATACTGTAAGAGCAATTTATCGCAAAGTGTAGTCACATTGTGAAGAAAATTCAGAAATAACTGTCGTTATATACATGACTAAGAATCATTTCGAAGCTCAACAACTTTCTTAGGTTTTCTGTGACTACTTTCGAATGTTACAGATATAGAACTTATATGTACTTTGACACACTACAAATGCATGATGTATTCACAAACCAATAAATAGTCCTTTTCTAGTCACTATCCTGGTCATCATTGTAGGGGTTTCTGCACCAGTCCCCACACTGGCAAGCTTTTGTGCATCTGAGTCTGCTTCTTTGGCAGATACATTGTCCTGTCCTGCAGTGTCGGCCAGTCTTTGTGCATCCACATACGAGTACTGTAACAGCCACATACTCTGGTGACAGACCATCTTCAGTCATAAGAACATGCACCAGTTTGTTTTGTTTTAAAGTCCAGCCACTTGTTGGACAGGGTATCTCTGGATTTGCCACATTAGAGTTTCTCCACACTATAGCCTGATAATTAATTTGCCCTTAGAATGTGTTGGAGGGAAATTTTCCAATTTACCTTTGGCTTTTATGAACCGAGAACATCTAAGTGAGTGAAAAGCCTTTGTGTCTACTGAAGGGATGTACAATTTGCAAAAAAAATTCTTCTTCTTTTGTGAGTATCTGAACATTTGGGGTGTGTGCTACTCCTAATTGGAGTAGAAGATGTAGTATCCCACTAAGGATCTTCTAAGCTGTTTTCTTTTAAATGCCTAAAAACTGGGTCGTGCTATCACACCCAGTTATAGCATGGAAGGCTAGAATGCTATCACTGATGTCACCAGAACCTTGAATCTGGTGAACAGCTGTGTAACACCGAGTCTTTGATGTTCCAGCGTTCATCCAAACCTCCTTGGATAGTTGAGGATAGAAAACAATCAACAAGAGGACATCACTATCACTGCTCGCTTCGCCAATTTTCGCATATCCTTTTGCCTTTGCCTCAGAGGCATGTAGAACCATTCGGGTGTCTGCCTCCTCTTGGGTAGAAGATATGTGATCCAAACCCCTATCAGCTGAAGAGGCATCTGTATTATCATTTCCACCACTAACAACCAATTCCTTTTTTTCCACGTAGAGCTTGATGCAAGAGGTCTTGTTTCATTGAGATCCATGAAGGATTTCCACTGTTCAGACAACCTCAAGTCCCTGTTGCTGATGTCCCGTCTCACAAACCCGCCCCTTTCCAGCCCGGCGCCTTCTAGTAGCATCTTTAATGGACTGTTGCTTGTAGCAGTCAAATACTACATACTACATCAATATGAGTACTGATTTGCAAAAGTTACAGCATAATAACCAAAGATCTTTGCTTCCTTTGGCTTTCCTAAAGCCTGAACTAGAGACATTCCGTCAATCACCATGCATGTTGGAGTCTGTGAGGCAGGTAGATTTGGCTGTGTTGCATCACCACTCTCAAGAATGGGGAGCAATTGTGACTTGTTTGCTGCCCGGAGGTTTCCATCTGGTGTCGCTATTGATAGTGGTAGATGGCATAGCTCTTTCTGGAGGAGACTGTTAAGATCAATATTTCTTCCTGCCTTCATGGCCACAATGAGACGCTTAAAGAGGTCTCGATCTGCTTTGATGACAGAAATAGTTTGTTCTTATTTTCATTTGCTATCTCAACAGCAAACATGAAAGCATAAATATTTTAAGCTTCTGCTTGTGAATGCTGGACTGCAAGCTACCTGTCTTCTCAACAAGCCTTTCAATGTCTAGCTTTCTAACTATCTGTTGTCCAACATTTTCTACATCTAGCAAGTCCCTGACAATCTCCTCTTTTGCTATGTCTCCAGTTTTCAAACACACTTTGAATGTTTGAAACAAGAATGCCAGCTTCTTGACATCCTCTTCATCTCTTTGTATTCTGGCTTTCGCTAACTCTTTGTGTGAAACACAATCATCATCATTTTCATTCACTCCAAGCATAAATTTAGTGTCATTCATTAGACTAGCTCTCGCAGCGTATGTCAGTCCCCAGCGATTGAGTGCAGAAGCAATTAAAGGAAATAGAAGAATCAACAAATTAAACAAATAAAAGCTACCAAGAAGTAAAAGCCAAAGCAATCAACTCTATGAACCATCAGATGAAGGAGTAAAATAAGTAAAAGGTTGGGAATGCATTCCACCCTTCCTAGTTGTAAAGAGCTATACATTAAAAAGTTGCCAGTGCAAGCATGGTTCATTGTAGCATCGGATACTACAGTAACTGGTGTACATTCAAGAGAAATTAAAAGTAGCTTAAACCATGTAAGGTTTGCAGAAGTTGGTAATAATATGTTGCTTGTCATCAGATTATATTACCCATTTATTAAGCATCTACTGTATATGAGGCAATAGTCTACATAATTCATGCTGTTTGTTGTTTTGATTATGAAAGTCACTATTCTGCATGTATTATAGAGAAGAAAATTGAATAACTCACATCTGCACATGTAAAACGTTTTTATAAATGAGTTACAGAGTTCACAGAATTGTTCAACTGCTATCAGGTAGATGCGTCCAGCCCTTGGGACACGGGGTTATTAAAATATCTTTAAAAGTAGTTCTATCCATTTTCCAGAGTAGCACCATGTTGTTTTTTCTGCTTCAGGAAAATATACCTCTTTCAAAAAAACTATGTTGCCAGCTTGTATCAAAATGGTGTTCCCTAGGTCATATATTGTTTTAAAGTGCCTCCAGACTAATAGCCAATGTATGTTACAATCCTTTAATGTTAGCTATGCTTTTTGAGACAATACAATTAACATTCTTGTCATATGTGGAGTGAAGGAGTGTGAGATATACGAACACTGGTGTCACTTACGATGAGTGTTGTGTACAGGTGAGCAGACCCCACGTAGCCCTGGCCATCCACCCTGGCGTCCACACGGACCAGATGTTGAAGCTGTGGATGCCCACACTACTTTTGCTGGCGTACGAGCGTGTACCCCTCGCCATGACCACCTACAACCAAGCAGAATTCCATGAGACTCTCGAGGTAAGAGGGAACGGGGCTTTGCAAGCATTCGATGAGAATGCTTATCGATGAAGATTGATATAAAGTAGACGATGCTCGCTAGAAAAAACTATTGAATATGGCTTATCGTAGGAGTCGTGACATCCGCAGGTTTGAGTATGATAACAGGAATAAAAGTGAAATAATGACAATAACTACTCCCAAACCTTGAAGTAGTGATTCCTAGTTTCGAGTAGTCATGTATTATGATATTTAAGGGTAAGTAGTTCACAGTTTCCTTATATAAATAAGTTAGACTTTAAGAATGGATACTGGTACTCCAAGAACTTTAGCTATAATTACAATGTATGTACCCAGGCAAACATGATCAAGCACTTTATATATATATATATATATATATATATATATATATATATATATATATATATATATATATATATATATATATATATATATATATATATATATATATATATATATATATATATATATTGTAAGGGCAGCGACGTAAGCTGTCACCAATGTAAGGGCGGCGATTCCTACTCACACTGCGCACCCTTATCATACTTACGTTCACTGGTTACCACATAACCTCAGTTCCTTTTGGTAGCATGGCGAGGGCCGGCACGTGGGTATAGTAATTCTGATATCAAGTCACTTGGACGGAAATAAAGGTGAACTACTGTGGTGGAAAATGAACACTCCTAAAATACTCAAAGAACAGGTTTATTAATATGAAATACAAAGGGAAAAAGATATTAACATACCACTCCAAGGTGCAACTCCTCGGCCTACTCCACTGCACTTATTCAGATCCTGTACCCTTACTACACATAACCTTACTGGTGTTACATTACAGTACATAGTTACATGACAACTCCTGGCTTCTCTTAACTGCCAATCCAAGTGGGTACTTACTTCACCCACATTACTGGTGATGCATTTCATTACATACATGACAAACTTACAGATGATACTTCACTCACTGAAACCAACTCATACATGGGTCCACTACCCAACATGGGATAATTATTTCCAATTAATTATCCCCAAACATATACATCAAACACTGTGGGCCATAAATGCCAGGAATGCGTCCCAGGGTAGGACACTGGGGCTCACGACCGTTGCTGTGATCAGTGGAAGCCAGACACATGGCGAGTCTGGGGTCTAGCTCCACGAGGCAGTGAACAGATTAATCATGTCGAATCAGTGCCATCGCTCATATATTGATCACTGCTGACTATCCACCGGCTTCGAGCGACCGGTGGGTGTTCAATTAAGCCTTCCCCGTAACCTGTAGACAAGTTGGAGAGGACGCATCACAGAGGACGACTCTCTACTCGGCAATGGTTCATATACCCCTGAGTTGCCAGCGATCGCTACTCACGCAATGACAGAATTCACAAACAAACCAACTGTCACTCATTCAAGGATGACCCTCAGTTAACAAGGGTCTGGCGAATTACTTGAGGTGATTTACACAGACTAATCCAAGATTGAGCTTGCCAGGAAAAAAGTGGAAATAAAAGGCATTGACAACTGTGTTAGAAAGGAGGACTTATTGGGAGGGATGATGAGTATAAGCGTCGATGGGGAAAAACACGTCTTCTTAGGAATAGCTAACCCACTCATGTTTTGCGTTCGTGGGGTACAGTAAGAATCATTAGTGTTAAAACAGACTAGCAGTCAACGTGACCATGGCAATATATAAGAACATAAGAAAATAAGGAGTTTGCAATAGACCGGTTGGCCTGTGCATGGCAGCTCCTGTCTAGAGTTACTACCACTCTCTATCATCCATGAATCTATCTAGCCTCCTTTTGAAACTTTCCAGAGTTCCCGCACTTACTACAAAGTTGCTAAGCTTGTTCCACTCGTCCGCCACCCTATTTGTGAACCAGTTTCTTCCTATCTCCCTCTTAAACCTAAACTTATCCAACTTGAATCCGTTGCTCCGAGTCCTATCCTGCTCGGATATTATAAGAACTTTATCTATATCCCCTTTATTGATTCCTTTCACCCACTTAAATACTTTTATCATATCTCCCCGCACTCTTCGTCTTTCTAAGGAATGCAAGTTAAGTTTCTTTAACCTATCCTGATATGGAAGGTTTCTAAGTCCCGGAATCATTTTTGTCATTCTTCGCTGCACCGACTCTAGTGAATTTATATCCATTCTATAATAGGGGCACCAGAACTGAACCGCATAATCGAGGTGCGGCGTGACTAGCGCAAGATATAGTTGTAATAAGACCTCTGCACTCTTGTTACTTACACTTCTAGACATAAAACCCAATACTCTGTTTGCCTTATTTCGAACATTAACGCACTGTTTTCTAGGCCGTAGGTCCGGGCTTACAAGTACCCCTAGGTCTCTTTCACAAGTCGAATTCTCTAGGTTGATGTTGTTAAGGTTGTATACATTATAAGTATTTGTTCTTCCAATATTAAGTACGCTGCACTTGCTGGTGTTGAATTTCATTTGCCATTTTTCAGACCACCCCTGCAGTTTATTTAGATCCTCCTGTAATGCATTTGCATCCTGCCCTGAATTAATTTTGCCGCCCTATTTTGGTGTCATCCGCAAACTTGCTTATGTCACTGCTGATCCCAGTATCTAAATCGTTTATGTAGATTATGAACAAGAGTGGGCCTAGTACTGACCCCTGGGGAACCCCACTGGTTACACGGCCCCACTCAGATTTAACACCATCTACGCTGACCCTCTGCGTTCTATCGGTGAGCCATGATTTTATCCAATTTAAAACTTTCCCCTCGATACCATGAGCCTTAATTTTTCTCAGAAGCCTCTGATGCGGTACTCTGTCAAATGCTTTGCTAAAGTCTAAGTAAAAAACCCTCGTAATTTTCGTCATTATCTACTACCTCGAAGACTTTCCTAAAAAACGTTAGCAGATTTGTTAGACAAGATTTTCCTTTGTAAACCCATGTTGAGAGTCGTAGATTAATTTGCTTTTCTCTAGATGCGATCGGATGCTATCTGCTATAATTGATTCACGAAATTTCCCCACTACTGACGTCAAACTGATCGGCCGGTAATTTGACGCTGATGCTCTGTCTCCCTTTTTGAATATGGGTACTACATTTGCCTGTTTCCACAAGTCTGGCACAACTCCAGTGTCTAATGATTTTGTAAATAAGTTTACGAGGGGTCCGCTAATCTGTTCCCTACACTCTTTCAAGACTCCAGGGAAAATTTCATCCGGCCCTGGGGATTTTGTTTTCTTTAGTTTATTTATCTTCTTAAGAACATCCTCTTTTCTGATAGTGATATTCTTTAATTTCTCTTCTTCCTTTCCCTTAAATATCAGTTCCACCTCTGGAAATTCATCCCAAATTTCTTCTGTGAAAACTGATAAGAAGTAGCTGTTCAATGCTTTGCTTATTTCTTCACTGCCATTTATCAATTCTCCCCTCCCTGACTTTAAAGGCCCAACTTTGTCCTTGACCTTTGTCCTATATAAATGGAAAAATCCCTTGGGATTCGCCTTGGATTCTCTTGCAATTTTGATTTCATACTCTCTCTTTGCTTTCCTTACATTTTTCTTAACATTCCTAGATAGTTCATTATACCTGTTTCTGAGCTGCTCCTCCCCTCCCTTTAATTTCTTATATATTCCTTTCTTTATTCCTATGTCATGTTTAAGTTTTCTGGTCATCCACCTTGGCTCATTCTTATTTGACCTAATTTTTCTGTATGGTATATTTTGTTCTTGTGCTTTATGTAGTATACTAGTGAATATATTATAGTCATGATCAATTGTTGTGTCATCTATGACCTCACCCCTTCCTACTGGGGACTGACGTGACTGTTCCCAGGTGACCTCACCTAGGTACCTTCTTAACCCCTGATAATCCGCCAACCGAAAGTTTGGGACTCTGACCATATTGTCATTGTTTTTCGTTTCCCAATTTAGGGTGAACCTGATTTCTCTGTGATCACTGTTACCTAGTTCTTCCCCTACTGTGATATCTCTGATAATATTTTCTTTATTTGTTAATACTAGGTCTAATATATTGTCACCTCTAGTAGGTTCTGTAATTAGTTGTTTCAAAAAATTGTCCTGTACTGCGTCTAGGAAGTCTTCAGATTCATAGTCGCCTACAATGTTGTCCCAGTCAATATTTCTGAAGTTGAAATCCCCCATAATGCATAGGTTGTTATATTTTGCTGCCCTACTCATTTCCTGCCATATGGGCTGAGCTGCTTCTTTGCCAAGACTTGGGGGCCTGTAAATCACTCCCATAATTAGTTTTTCTCTTCCTTCCGTGATTTCTACCCACACAGACTCGGTTCCTATTTCACCCTTTATTGAATTATTAATACAACATTTTAATGTATCCTTGACGAAGAGTGCGACCCCTCTCCCCTTCCTACCTTCCCTGTCCTTGTGAAAAAGGTTGTACCCTTCTATGTGGTACTCTGATAAAAAAATTTTGCTCGCCAGATTCATCCAAGTTTCGGTGATTGCTATGACGTCTACATTCTCGGTACATACAACCGCTCTCAGCAAGTCTATTTTATTTCTAACGCTCCTACTGTTTGTATAGTATACATTTAAACCTACCCTTCCCTGGTCCTGTCTTACGCCTTACGCCATTCACGACCAACCCCTCTTCTAGGCAAGACACCACATACTATCGGGATCCCTCCCCTATCTCTAATCTTCCCCAGCGCCTCCCTATACCTCTTGAAAAGTTCCTCACTCCTAACCTTACCTATGTCGTTTCCTCCCACACTAAGACACACTACTGGATTGGTACCCTCCCCTGACAAAACCCTGTCTAACCTCTTGGCTACATGCCCTATCCCAGCCCCAGGAAAACACACCCTAGTCCTACGTTTCCTATCTCTCGCACAAAAAGCCCTATCTACAAACCTCACCTGGCTGTCACCAACTACCACGACCTTACCTGTGGGCAGGGTTTGTACAACTGCCCTTTCTTCTCCTTGATCCATACCGTCCTGCCTCTTCTCTTCCTCGCCAGCTTCCTGCAGCACCTGGTAAGGGTTACTACACTCCACACCCTGGTCAGCTTTCCTGAGCCTGACCCTAGTCCCCTTGGAGAGAACCACTCTCCACGCCTGCTCCTCCTTCGCAGGTGTCCTGCTAGGCAGGACACTTACCTGAAGGAGTTCCGTCCTGAGGGCTTCATTTTCCCCCTTTAGAGTGTCAACCTCACTCCTCAACTGCCCCAGGTGCCTTAACAGAGTGGCAAGGAGGTCGTCTTTCCCCACACTCCCCTCCTCTTCCCCCACGACACAACGATCCAAGGCGGCCATTTTCCTTGGTCTCTAACGGGAGCACTATCGGGCACGACCTTCTCCAATACCTCACTAGTCGGGAATCGAACTCTGGACCTCTGAGTGTGAACAGGGATTTCTACTACAGCGCCACAAAGACAACGAAAGCAATCCTAGGCTTTGTTTTATTTCACTCAAAGTCTGTTCATTCGTATTTTTCAAGCAACCAACCACAGAGTTGGTACGGGCAATCCCCAATGGAGGTTCGCGTTGCTTAACAAAGAAGAATGAACAGGCTTTGTGTGTATAAAACAAAGACCTAGAATTGATTTCGTTGTCCTTGTGGTGCTGTGGTAGTGATCCCTGTTCACACTCAGAGTTCCAGAGTTCGATTCCCGACTAGTGAGGTATTGTTTATATATGGAAGTCCCCCCCCCCAGGATCGCCCAGCGTATATTAGTCTTTGCGAGGGAAACGTCATAGAAGAAAACTGCCTTAGAGCTGTCTGAACTATCGGAAAAAATACATTTTCTAAAAAAAATCCGTGGCTGGTCGAAACTACAAATTCACTCAAACAATACTGTAATACTGTACAATCAACAGGTTACCTTCTCTACCGGATAGGGCCTCCAGTAACACCTGGATCCCAACTTAACTTCCGTTCTCCAACCAGGTCGGAACTAGAGATAGAGAAAACGGCCAAGCATCTGGCGAGCCACTCCAGGAGTGATTCCCGAGCATAAGCCGTTTGATATATAATATATACATCGTAAATGTTACTTACTCGAAAACCTATCCACTTCAAACGATAATATTAATGATACTACTAATAATAATAATCAGAATGAAAATTTTCAGGATGTAGTTATATATTTAATACTAAAACAAAACAAAAACATACTAAGACAAGACACATTAACGAAATAATTATAGTACTCCAGCACAACCCTGCGTACTAAGGGACCAAAGAGTATCACAGGCACCTGACATAGGATGCATATGAACAGCTCCGTGGCTCTTCTCACCCTTGTCTGATTAATTTGAAATTCTGGTGTGCTTTAAGTGGGTCCCGTCCCACAGTCCTGTCAGTAAGGAGATACGGTACACTGATGACTAAGTCTTATTTTTCGTAAACACGGAGGCAGTGTGGTCGACAATGTATATGACCGCCTTCACTTTCTCCAACTGTAAACTTAGGCACCCATTCACAGTTAGGTGGTGAAGTAGGGGCTCCTTGGGCATGAACCAACGACCCTAAGGACAGGAGACGAACACAGTATCAATTCGACCGCCGCACCCATAATGTGACAGAAGACAGAATTATTTGCATATCTGAATTTTTAGCATTTGAGGTAAAAAAAAAAATCCTTAAAGTAAATGGGAGTTTTCACCGTTCCTCATCTGACTCCTGTGGGTAATGTAGTATGACAGGGTGAAGCTGATGACTGAAATCCTCGAAAGCTACTGGTGATGTTGGTCTGCTCATACAGCAAGTTTTATTACCAGAACACAATACGATAAAATAACTTTAATATGGATGAATCAATGTTTGTTGACCCAAAATGTTGACTATAAATTAATCATAACTATTGAACTCATAACTTTTTAATATGTTGTATTGTTTCTCTGCTCCTGTAGAGTAGCAGTTTCGTCAAGGTATCATTGTGCACCTTCTTACCGACGCTTTTTAGTCTGCCGGATATTATTACAATGACTTGATTGAATTTTGAGCCAAATGACACATATAAGACGATTCAAATTTCTTCAACAGAAACTGAAAATTTTGAAGCCTAACATCGTGTACAAGGAGATGAATCCACTACGCTCACTACATGCCAAGCAGACGCCTTACGAACCTGACCACGTGTGGGCTGCTAACTCTTTCGCTATTGCCATCGACAACAGCAGCACCACCACCACCTCATGAAGCCCATCTGGACTGGTGCTTCTACACGTCTACCCCTGACTTTGTGTTGCTACATCCTCATAATTTCTAGGCGTTTGTTTGGGCCGGGTTTTGATATCAAACGATCTCACTTGTTAACACTTGCGGAATGAGTGTAGAGTAGTCGCTGGTACCTTTGATGAAGCTGGGTGAGATAATGGGTAGTCTCACGGCGTGTCACCTTTGATACTGTCGTTGAATCGTTGAAGCTTCCCAGCAGCCCTGGATTAAACTTGTAATTATCTTAGCTTGTAAGTATACACAAGTGTACACAGGTTCTGTTATCTTCATTTGTGGTTCCTTGGTGTATTGTAAAAACACGTGGTGATTTTCTAGTTATATTGGATGCTCTGGTAGTTAGAGAATTGTTTGTTGACAGCCTACTGAGCATTAGCTATTAGCTTGTAATTAGCTTATATAATTAGAGAGAGATATTTAGCCTGGGAGCTATGCTCGCACACGTCTCTTTGGTACGGTGTATGGCTGTGAACTGGTGAACTGTGTGAAACTGTGAACTAGGCGAACCTCTCTCTGTCTGCTTGTAAGGGGGTATGTAATCTATACGTCAACACAGAGATTAGAGGCTACACCCCATAGGCCTACTCTCACAGTGGCCTGGGGACATATATTTATGGGTTGTAACCTGAATCTGTGTGAAACTACAAATGTTTATGTGTGCTGTCCACCCTAGGAGGTGTGACAGAACAAATGCTTAATGTAGCTGTATGCTCAATAGTCTGGGTGATAGAATGTATATAATGAATATATGTCCTTAGCCCATATTTATATAATACTAATTGATAAGGGCTGGAACACGTTGGCATATTGCCAAAATGTTTTACTTGTGACAAATTAACGTGGTTTACTGTAGTTATTCAGTTTTTACATAAATATTTCTTTTTTTTCATTGCTATTATAAATTTTTGACAGATATGAATTGGGATTTATACTACTAACTCTTACACTATACAATAGAGTTTTATTATTCTCTGTTCATAATAAGTTGAAGCGTTGCGAGTGTACTAAGGTGGTTCAGGTGCCGCAAACCCTAACAGTGGTTTTCAATTCTTTCACTAAAGCAGAGGCGTGGAAAAATCTGCGATTTATTACTTAAGTTAGAATACAAGTAATCAGAAAAACACTTAAGTTAAAGTAAAACTAGCCTTCGTTAATTGCACTTTCGAGTATGAAAGTTACTAATTTATTATGGACTTAAAATACTCACAATTAAAAAGCGGTTGTTAAGTATAAGCAATAGTTGGCAGACAAATATCACAGGGAAGGAAACGCACATTTCGGTGAATGCTTTGTTTTTTATTGTTTTGTGCACAGTATTTTACCATCTACAATGGGATGCAATTACTAGGTAGCTATTAGTTGCTCCACCAACAAGAAGAGAAACCCGTCTTTCTTCATATTTCCAAAGGATCCAGAGAGGTGAGTCGTACACCTACAGTTAGGGTTGCCATAACTGAACATTAAAAAAAAAAAGAGGACCTTCCCGAAGACATCCTGCCCCCCCAACCCACCCCCCCCTGCCCGGCACACACTTTGGCCCTATATATATATATATATATATATATATATATATATATATATATATATATATATATATATATATATATATATATATATATATATATATATATATATATATATATATATATATATATATATGTAATATTCAGAAATTTCAGAGTAATTTCAAATGCCCCGCCATTAGCGATACTGAGCGTTCAAGGTCATCTGAGGGGAGAGAGCGCTGCCTGCTCATAGCGAGAGATTGCGGAACTAGGCCTATATGATATTAAATGTAATTTACCGAATTAATAATGATGCGATTCATGAAGTAAGGGACTATTATTGAATTTGAAATTATTATAGATCGTTTATCAGTCTGAATAATGTTACGGGTGTCCCAAGGAGTTATTAGTTAGGCGGAAAATATGTCACGTAGGCCCAAGCTAACGCCTTGAGGAGACGCGACGCTGGCTAGGTCTCAGTCGCGGGGAGGATTCATACAAAACAAGACGTCCCTGCGCGTCTGGCACAGAAATAGTAACGTGGCCTAGTCACCTGTGCTGCGCTATTGCAATATAACAAGTAAGTCTCATTCGATCTCAGACAGGGTTAGATAGGGCAGTGGTAAAGTAAACTAGAGCTAACAGTGAGTTCATTTCAGGGTTTCCGTCAGAACCCACTTGACTGGAGTTGACCGGAGTTGACCGGAGTTTGACTGCGAGAGATTGACTGCTGTTTGAGACTGCCGTTGATGATTGAGGGTGGCGTTTGTCGCCATTGGACCGATCAGAGTAGGCCTGTCACTGTTTAGCGGGGTACCAAAGGATCTCTTGAGGGAATCTAGCCGTCCACCCGGACGGCTCTCAACACATCGGCTCACAACACCACATGTCCCGAGCCGCTTAATGAAACACTCTTGCTAATGGGAAGCTAAAGGTCTGATTGGCTCACTCTCTTCCTGCCCATGGACGCACTGGGAGTACACTGAGGCTATCTGAGTATATTAATGGTCACACACTGAGACCGTGAGTCTAGGACTCTAGGAGATACCTAGAGGAACATTTTATCTTCCTTATTACGGGTGTAGTTAACACCATTCCTCAGACTGATATTATCTTGACGTGTGTAGTTTAATATTTCTTAAATAATTTTGATAGTAGTGTTTTTTTGAATGTTTGTGTCATTAAGTGGAACCAGAGTGATACTGTGAATTGATTCTTTTAATGCATCTGATTGTTCTTCATAATTCTGATCTCAAGTATAACCTTGTTCCCCAGAGTAGTGGTTAAGTTAGGTTAGGAAGTGTGCATCTGTTGGGGTGCTATAATTTTGTTGAGTGCCCTTAAGGCCTATTCATTGTAGAGTATTTAATTTCTTATTTTTTATTACCATTTCCTCAGTGCCTGGTATTATTTTGTTGAAAGCCCTTAAGGCCTATTCATTGTAGAGTATTTAATTTCTTAATTTTTATTACCATTTCCTGGGTGACTGATATTGTTTTGTTGAAAGCCCTTAAGGCCTATTCATTGTGGAGTATTTAATTTCTTATATTTTAGTACCATTTCCTAAGTGACTGATATTATTTTGTGAAAGCCCTTAAGGCCTGTCCATGTGTGCAAGCAACATTTCTTAATACTTCAAATCTATTGTTGCCTGTGTTTCTAATAATTTCTATGTCATTTATAACTTTTATTCCCCAGAGTAGTGTTTTAAGTTTAAGTTAAGAGGTGCGCATATTGGTGTACCATTATTTGATTGTGTTTGTAGTGTTGGAGGGAATATAAGTGTCTAAATTTTACAGTGTGGCTCATTCATCCCAGTCACAGACGCTATCCTTCCACGGGTCACGGACAATTCATTTTGTGTAGTAGATTTAAGTGTTCTTGTGCTGGTTCGGGATTTTTCTCAAAGGGGCGCTTCCACTGCCATTACCATCTATTAATTTTTAATAAACCCCAAGTCAAGTGAGAAATTAAAGTCCAGCAAATTCCGACCGGTTATATATATATATATATATATATATATATATATATATATATATATATATATATATATATATATATATATATATATATATATGTAACCGGTCGGAATTTACTGGACTTTAATTTCTCACTTGACTTGGGGTTTATTAAAGATTATTAGATGGTAATTGCAGTGGAAGCGCCCCTTTGAGAGAAATCCCAAACCAGCACAAGAGCACTTAAATTTACTAAACAAAATGACTTGTCCGTGACCCGTGGAAGGATAGCGTCTGTGACTGGGATGAATGAGACACACTGTTAAATTTACACTTATATTCCCTCCAACACTACAAACACAATCAAATAATGGTACACCAATATGCTCACCTCTTAACTTGAACTTAAAATACTACTCTGGGGAATAAAAGTTATACATGATGTTGAAATTATTAGAACCTCAGGCAATGCCTCATTAGAGGACAAAAAGTTTACAGTATTAAGAAATGTTGCTTGCACACATGAACCAGGCCTTAAGGGCTTTCAACAAAATATCAATCACTGAGAAAATGGTATTAAAAAAATAAGAAATTAATGACTCTACAATGAATAGGCCTTAAGGGCACTCAACAAAATATCATCCAGCACTGAGAAAATGGTTTACAAAATAGAACTTATTAACTCCACCCTGAGTAGGCCTTCAGGGCACTCAGCAAAATTATGTTACCCCAACAGATACACACCTCCTAACCTAACTTAAACACTACTCTGGGGAACAAGGGTTATACCTGAGATTAAAATTATAAGGAAATATTAAATGCACACAGCATACATTAGTAACTGAAAAAATAGTCTTCAGTACACACAAAAATATTATCACTATTATTAAGAAGTTACTGAGTCCACCAATACCCGTGAACCATGCTTCCTAACCTAACACATAGATTCCACCTGCACTCCGTAGTTTTTTAAGGCACAACCAACAGGCACCCGTAGTTTAAGGCCCAAACCAGCCTTTCTCAACCTTGGAAATGTACCTCTAAGTTCCACTGGACTCTTGGTCCCAGTGTATGACCCTGTATCACTCAGCTGGCTTCACTTTACCCCCAGTACATCCATGAAACGGAAGAGAGTGAGCCACTCAGACCTTGTACAGTTGAGAGAAGCTTTAGCTTCCCGTTAGTAAAAGGTTTTCACTAAGCTGCTTGAAGATATGTGGTATTGTGAGCCTAGGTAGAGGAGAGTTGATGACCCCAAACGATCGTCACGTCGTTAGATGGGCACTTAGACAGCTGGGTTCACTCCAACTCTCACCATACTCCTCTTCGATGATCAAGGCCCACAAATTGAAAATACGTTTGAAATTTCTCCAGACATGCCTCAGTGAAAAAGTTATGCCTAGATCAATCCTACCACAACGTGTCCTGAAGATGTCTGACCGCCCCTTTGATGAGTTCCAAGAAATCATCCTTAAGAAACATTTTGAAATAAAGAAAATTGAAGTGGATGAAGCCTTCCGTATTGTAAGACAAAAAAAGCGCGCTTTTAATATGACCATACCGAGCTACTGGAAAAAGTTCATGTTGGACTACTGTTTTGATAACCTGAGACGTGAGCGTTCTGATCTTCAAGCCAAGATAGACCACAAATTGGCACTCCTTATTAGAAATAGTGATTGGACTAAGGATGCCAATAACAACTGTGTAGTGAATCTCTCCTCGAAACAACTAGACAATGATACCTTGTGTGCCCTCGGCTATGGTTTAAGTTTTGATGGTTCTAACAAGGGAGTCGACAGTGTTGACATAGCCAGAGCATTTTGCAATTTGGAGAAATTCAGTAATTTGACAAGTGAAGAAGTGAACATGTGTAAAGGTGATGTGTATGCATCTATGTCCAAGCCTTGTGTTCCAAACTGTCCAGAAAGATTCACCAAAGCAATCCAAGCCCTTAAGAAAAATAAGGATCTACATGTCACTAAAGCAGATAAAGCCAACACAGTAGTGATCTTAAACAAAGATGACTATATCTCTAAAATGAATGACCTCTTATGTGATACTACAACATATTCTAAACTCATAAATAATCCTCTCAACACTGTCAACACCCAGTTCAACAAAAAACTGAAGTCCCTATTGAGAGGCAAAGCTACTCTCATTAAACATCTTACTTCAACGTCCCCTCCACTGCCATACATGTACGGTGTAATCAAGACCCACAAGCCCAATAACCCAGCAAGACCCATCATTAGCTCAGTTGGGTCAATCTCTTATAAACTATCTAAATGGTTAGTTTCTTTACTAAATCCCCTAGTTGGCAACATTTCTAACTCCAATATCAAGAATAATATGGATCTGGTTGATAAACTCAATAACTTACACATTAATCATGATTTTAAACTGGTCAGCTTTGATGTAACGTCACTCTTTACAAAGGTCCCAGTTGATGATTTACTAGAGTTCCTCATAGATTCCCTGGATAACATTTCACTGCCCGTCTCGAAAGACGACTTCATCGAACTCATCAAACTATGTATTAAGGATTGCAAATTCGAATTCAATGGGGAATATTATGCTCAAAAATTTGGTATGGCAATGGGTAACCCACTCTCACCTGTATTAAGCAACCTATATATGGAATTCTTTGAAAAGAAACTATTTAGTAATATTTTACCACCCTCAGCAGTCTGGTTTAGATATGTTGATGATGTATTATGTCTCTGGCCATGTAATGAGGATCTAAAAGCTTTCCTGCCACAACTTAACAACTTAGCCCCCTCGATCAAATTCACTGTGGAATTAGAGCAAGACTGTAAATTGCCATTCCTAGACTGTCTGATACACAGAATAGGTAACATTTTTAAGTTCAGTATTTATAGAAAACCAACTAATGTGTGTTCATACATTCATTATTATTCTGCCCACCATAATAAAGTCAAACAGTCAGTATTTTCAACAATGTTTTTACGTGCCTTGAGAATTTGCAGTCCGGAATTCATCGATGAGGAATACAAATATATATACAATATTGGCTCAAACCTTAAATACCCTAGATCTTTCATAGACAAATGCTTAAACAATACTAAGAAAACTTTTTATAGAACTGACCCCAAGCCCACCCATGACCATAAGAATATCTTAATATTACCATTTCACAAAAATTTCTCACACATTCCTGCACAGCTAAAAACCTGGAACGTCAATGTGGCATTTAAAAACTCATGCACTGTTAAACAAATGTTAATCAAGAACTCCCCCAACAACACAATTGGTTGCATTTATAAAGTTCCTTGCAAGGAATGTAATATGTTTTACTTAGGCCAGACAGGTAAAGATCTTGCAACTAGAATTAAACAACACAAATACAGTGTTAGGACAGGCCAGGAATCCAATGCTCTGTTTGTTCATTTGAGGGATAACAAGCATTGCATTGACTGGGATAATGCCTCCTCAATATTACCATGTAATTCAATTGATAGTAGGAACATCATAGAATCTAGTCTTATTAAACATACCGAAGCATTCAACATGAATTTGAGTAACGGCATGTACAAGCTGGACAATTTTGTAATTAAGAAGATTTGTGATCAGGTGAGAAGGCCGGGTCACTTGACCATCTGACCTGACCACCAACCGTTGTGTGCTATTTAAAGATTAGTAGGGTCATTACCTAATACCTGACCATTGTGGACCTGGTCTCACCCTCCTCTGTATATATACACCTTGATTTGTATTACTCTCTCTAGTCTGTACTCACCCCTGAAGATGTGAATTACACGAAAGCGCTTGGGAACTTCGTGTTTTCTTCTTTCCTTGTGGTTATCAGCAGCATATATATATATATATATATATATATATATATATATATATATATATATATATATATATATATATATATATATATATATATATATATATATATATATGTGTGTGTGTGTGTATATACACCAGTATCGGTGTACTGTATTGCATTGTGTTTTTAATGTAGGCTAATATACAACATACATGGTGTAGAAATCTTAAAAAAAAAATAAAAAAAATAACCTTTGCTTATGGCTGAATATCTTCATTCCCTTAGCTGCAGTCTTCTTCCCCCACTGTGTGTGTGACTTGATGTGCCCATGCATACTTTTCTGTAGCTCGGTTCCTTTTCAGTATTGGCTGATTGCTCTGCAAGATGTTTCTCGGCAGTTGTACTGTACAGTAAGAATCCTTTCATTGTTTCAACACTCAATTTGGCTGTGACAACAAGCGACAAACCCACAACAAAGACTAAGATCAAACACTGTCACTGCAGGTTACAGACTGGCCAACCACCGGTCACCGTCATAGTTGTCACCACACGTAAATAAAATAGCGAAAGTGTCTAGATTATGGTTGAAAATTGCTAAAGTGCCTTAAATGTAGGACAAGAAAAACAAATGCTACAATGTAAAAAAAGCCATGAGAAAAAAATGGTATACTTTCAACATTTCATTTATGGCTGTAATAGCACTAAAAAAAAAATTATATATATATATATATATATATATATATATATATATATATATATATATATATATATATATATATATATATATATATATATATATATTGTATATGTATAGCTGTGAGAAGTGATACCACCCTCAGTGTCAAGACCTGACTGAATTACTCAGAATAGGCCAGTGGTTCTCAACCTTTTTCACTCCATTCCCCCCTTGAGGAATTTTCAACATCCTCGTGGCCTCCTTCATTTTCTCCCAGAACAGACAAACAGACAAGTGATAAAGACTAAAGAATGATAAAGAAGGACAGATAAATAGGACAAGAGTTAGAATGGCAAACACACACACACATTCACATACATAACACGCCCATGCACTCACACATAAAGCACACATACAGTCATACACAAACATGCACACAGGTAAACATTCACACTCAAGCTAGCAAGCTGAAGTGTACTTCCTGAAAGCAAGAACACGCCTCCTTTGACAAGCACTGCCCAACTTGGAAGAATGAGAAGAATAGTGAGTCATACCAATTTAGCACTAAAAATGGTAGGATTATATAAGTAAAGAATGAGTATGAACAACAATGGCACCAATAAATAAGGAAATAATTAATAAAGGAAGTGTACAAATATTTTACCCATGTAAAGCAGCGACCACATGAATTATGAAACAAAAAAAGTAACACCAATTACGGAGTATATTATGCTTAAGACGAGCTCAAACACAATATATGGTTCAGAGACAATACACTCCACTGTTTTCGTGATGGTATCCCAGGCCAGACTGAGATCATTCGATCCTATCACCACTTGCAAAGGGATGACACACGCACTGAACAAGTCAGTTTAGCAGCTCGGTCCAGCGCCTGTCACACAGACAAAGACTGGACCTGTGAAATCTTAAAAAGTCGGAAAAAAATCTCACCAGAGTATGTAAATATTAAAATTGTATTGTCGTTATGATTAAATAAAATGACAAAAATAAAAGGGAAATTCTCTTCTGCCAAGTCAAAATAAGTAATACAAGTTTTGTTTAATTCAGATTCCCAACATTATTTGGAAACGTACAATTTATAACAGCTCGCCGTGGCTCCCCTAAATTCTTGCCGTGGCTCCCTTGGGGGCCATGGCCCCCAGGGTGAGAACCACTGAGCTAAGTTGACAACACCGTACAGACGTACACGTGACTTATCAGCTGACGAAAACTGAACGAGATCTCTACATTACAGTTTCATGTTTTTTTCCGTGGAGTAAATGATGGAAGCTGAAATTCTGGACTTTTGAATAATTTTAAAAGTTACTTCCGGATGAAGATTTCGAGACCTAAATGGAGGACATGTCCGCGAAAATACGGAGGTATGGCAACCCTACCTACAGTATACCTCTGTCAATTTTGACTGTTGACTTTTCATTTGTTTTATGAGATTTTACTTTATTTAATGTATTTAGTACTGATAACGTTCCACCCTTTAGAAATGCTAGTTATCATCAGAGTATCAATGGGATATATAAAATGAGTAGGATACTATTGTTTTGTTATTTGTTTTAGGACCGCCCATGACTTTTTGGACGAAATTGTGTTATTCCTATATATTTGGATTTTTTTTTTTTAATGAATTTCACATTAATTTTTTGGGAAAATTGACGAGTCAACTTGAACTTAAAAAACGAGTGTGAAATTCATGAAACCTAACGATTCCATCCTAACATAACCTAGGTAATTGAATTTTCTCAGTTTTTCTTAAATCACTAAAGATGGAAGAAAAGTCCCATGTGGTTAGTGGCATAGGCCCGCGAAAGAGGCAAGGGGGGATATAGCCTTGCAGCTGCTCTCAGGAAGGCTTGGTAAATTCAGAAGAAAATCATCTTCCCCCCCAAAACGACAAAGAATAAAATCGATAAAAAAGAATTATCCCAAGTTAACGAATGTTAACCAAGATTTGGCTGCTACAGCTGAATCATACGAAGTGTGAATACTATGTTATATAATAAAATTATTATTCACGGTTTTTAACAAACAAAGTAATTTTTTTTTCTCTAAAACTATAATATATATTCCGTTTCATCACTTTATTTGGTAAAGATTCAATATTTGTTTATGGTGTTAAGCCATATACTTTTGGAGCCAAGGAATCAGATAAAGATACTTTAAGATCATTCTGGTGCATAAGTAACCAGATAAAATATGGCAGGGTAAAATGGCGCTCTTTTTAATGTCAGTAATCAATATCTCACAAACTATATCACATTTTAAGATTACCTGTTTATCATATCCTGCAATACTGTATTCCAGGAGTCAAATAGAGACAGTGGTAATTAATTTTTATTCAATATGGCAAATACAAATGGCAGACAAATGAATTATAATTATGTGCAATATTAAATTTCTTTGGCAAAGGGACCTGGCAAATAAAGAATGCAAGACAAAAGTATGTTTATATCTAATTTCCAAAATAAAGGAAATCATTAAGTTCAATAAAAATTTCTTTGGCAAATAAAAATGGCTGACAAAAGTTTTCTTATACCTATTTATGATAAGCACAGAGAAGATAGGCATTACGCCACTAAAGATATCTCCCCACAAACAAATATGATTCTAAAAATACTTTGATTCAGAGTCACTGTCACAGAGAATAGCAAGTGCTAGAGGATTTGTAAATGTAAGTTTTCCTCCGATGCATCAGTAACACACGATGACACTCAGATACATGCTGAAGTACATGGTTGTTCATTGGTAAGAAGTTTGCACTGCAGAGCACAACACGTAGGAGGACAGTTATACACAAGGCTGTTCAAAAGTTCTGGTGCAACTGGAGGATGTTCTATCATCATTGGTCATACAGCTGTCTCATCTGGTGCTCTCTCGTATCCCCGCCGAGTTAAGGAATTGGTGCACTGGTATGACAGCTTCTCGCCATATTCTTAGATGTTAATTACGCCTTAGTAGTTGTAGGTCAAAGATGTGTTCTGTTGGAGGAAGTTTCTTGGCAGGTACATTTCTCTAACTTACCGTTTCACATCTGAGCGCATTTACAGAATTTTGAAATGCGTTGAAAAGTTATAGCAGATTAATAAGAGTGAGTTAAATGAATGTGCTTTTGGTTGTGTAGAATTAAATATGCGAGTGATACTTATCCCAACTGATCACTTTGTAATAATTAAGTCAATAGTGTCTACGATAGTTCATCTCTTTACAGTAAGTAGCTCAATTGCTCTGTACTGTACATGAAAAAAAAAACACAAACATAGCTAAGGTCTTCTAGCCGGGCCAGATAAATAATCTTTTATATTTTATCAAAGTACACGAGAGCGTTCATAAATCACTCAATATTTTATTAAAAAAAAAAAGTTCGAAATTCGGGATACGTGTATGTGTAGAAACATCCGTTGATGCGATGGTCTGTGGGGTGGGGGAGGGATTAATGCTCTTCATTTATCATAACATGAGCAGTTAAATTATGTTAAATAAAAATAGGTGGTGACTGGTAATAATATAGGTCGCATGGAAACAAGAATATTAAATATGCTTACAGTGTTTAAATAAGAAAAGGAACGACTAATAAGACTGTAAGTAAGGAAAAATACAGTTTCTTTGTTTTTAATTACAAACAATAGAATTACGAGGTACTGTAGAGTACATGAACTAGAGAGATTGACAGAAGTAGTGTAAGTGGCTCTGTCAGACAAGCTGCTGCATCATTCTACTCTGGATACCCATTTATCACTGTTTCATTGGTAATGAACACCTTGGTATCTTCTGCAATTTTCTGAGTGAAGGCAACAGTCCAGAAGATGATGAAAATGATCACGTACACACTAAGTATAATAGAGTAACCAATCTTGTTGATGAGGATTGGGCGGTTCATACGATGTTTGGTGTTCGTGATCATCATCATGTTGTTGGGACTCTCACCGACTGGGAGGACCTTCGCCGGCAGGAAAGTGGTGGGCGATGGACTTGTGGGTGAGCTGTAGTGGTGGTTGTACTCGACGATGGTGTGTGTCAGGATGGTGAGGAAAGCAAACACGATGGAGGTGAAGAACCAGATGTCAATAAGTTTGAAGTAGGATGTTTTAGGTAGGGTGTCAGTGATCTGTGAGAAAAGCGTCGAGAGCACCAGCAGCGCCGTCAGGGATACCATGATGCGGTTCTGAAAGTCGAACCACTTGAAGAGGAAAGTGACGAAAGAGATGATGTTGATGAGTGTTGTTGGTATGAAGATAGTCACCACCTGAGGGAGAACGTAATGTCAGTGGTAGTAAATAACATCACATGATTCCTTACGCTGTTCCTTTTTATCACTGCCAACAAATTCCAAAATAATGGCAACCATAAGCAACTCAGAGGATCAATTGTAAACTATACACTAAAAAAAAAAGATTCAAGTACATACAATTTGGTTATATCAGAGCTTTGTCAACTATCTACTGTACAATAGTTAGATACCAGCATTATGAGATATGACAAGAGCAAGTACTTATGTTTACAATGTACCAAAACCATATAATGGCTGGAAGAGGAACAATAGTGGAGTAACAAAAGTGGTTTAAGTTTAACTCCTTGGGAAAGTTTTATTTCTCTATGAACTGATAGAATGGAACCCAACTACAAATTTTACAAAGGGGTAACCCCCTCCCCCAAAAAAGCTCTCGGTAGAGAGGGTTGAACCTAAATGGGGGTGACGTATAGAAAATGGCATTTCTTCAGAATGGTTAGTCCGATTGATACCAGTGAGGTGTTGAATGCAAAATAACATTGACTTTTGTTATAAGGCAATCAAAATGCACCTAATGGCTGCCATATCATTCCTCAATTTTGTTTCAAAATGTTCTGAAATATAATGCAAAAAATAAGCCCCTGTGAATATGTTTGTTCTTCACTTCTTCGTGCTTTGATGATTTTACAGCAGGATGTCTACTGAACATATAAAATATGAAACCAAAGTGTTCAACAGTGACTTACAGGAAACGAAATATATTAACTAGCACTGATGTTAGATAAAATCTAATGTTCATGAACAGAAACTGGATATTATTGACAAATTGCTTTAGAGCACATGTTCATCGACAAATTCAATGAGAACACATTATCTTGATTGACATGTGCACTTGCGCAGTCGCGTACAGCTTAGCTTCTCCTTTTTGCATTTACACCTGGTACAATCTTCCTTGCACTTGTGCAATTGATGGTGAACTGAATCGCATCCTTTGCAAGTGGGAAGGACATCTACTTTGGTACCAGCTGTCCCTCGATGTCATCCCACACGAAATCTGATGATTTCAGGTGGGTAAGCTCAGCTTCGTGGCTCCTTGCCCAAATGTGTGCATGGAAGGCTGCCCTAAGAACGTGAAACCTCAGGGCGTTGTTTGTCGACGGAATTCTTGAGATGGCAGAACATCTTTCTGCCTAGCTCGTATAATTTGCAAACTAAAGATTCACAGGCTGCATAGAGGCCTCCTGAAACCTCTGCAAAAGCCTTTAGCTCTGCATCCGTGAGGGTATTCAAAGCGGCCCTCATTCATCCTCCGACTGGGAGTGTCCCAGGTGGAGGGAGGAATGTAGGGTAGCCAAGCTGTAATCCAAGGAAAACTGAGCTACAAGGAGCTACAAGAACGAAACAAGACAGAAGAAAAAAGAAACAAGAATCAAACAAGAGAGAAGAAAAGAAAAACAAGGAAGATCAACAAGAAACGGATATACTAACATTGTGTCGTACAGAATTTATAAGCCTCTAAAAACAAGATATTTGTGACCACTGAACAAGATCAAGAAGGGTGGACCGTCCCAAAAAACGAAGAAAAACTAAAGACAAAGATCAAAATAACAAGTTTACGGCAATAATAACCGCAGCAGCTAACGGCCGGCAAAACAAACTATTCGGCTGACGGATCACCCCGTTACCTGCCTTCAACGTCCCCAGAATCTCCCTGTGCCATCTGTAACGCTAAGTATTATCTATTTTGTCTTAGAGGTCTTGTACAAGCCTTAGTTTTCATAGGGGGAAAAGCTGAGTTCTAAGAGCTCCCCTAACTTAACTGTGAAGCATTTACCACCCAGTGACGAGACAAACGAACCTTACATTTCTATACTTGTTATTCTTATTACCGTCGCCAGTACAAGTGGAACTTATTATATATGAGGTCAATCATTACTGTACTTATGTGGTTTCTTGGTGCCAATTTGAAGAGAACCACCTTCTTTTATTCTTACAAGTGTTCACTCAATCTTAATAATGCACTTGTGTGAGCTCCTTATAATAATTTGTTGAAATTAAGTCGATTTTAAGTATAATAAGAAAATTTACACTGTTCATTTTACTTACTCTCTACCATACTAAATTGATAACTTTCTAATGGAACATTATTATCTTGATCACACTTTGCCTTGTCTACTGTGCTGAAACTTCTGGTTAACTTCCTTGCTTGATTATCAAGTGAACTTTGGAAGTGGTGTAACAAATCACCCTATGGTTAACTAAAGGTTTAAATAATCCATAACAACAGTAATACATCGAGTGAATTAAGCCGCCTAGATGATGCAGCAAAGACGTAGGCGTCAATCGTGACAACCACAGCCAGAGAGGCCTCACCCTCTATAGACCAGGCGATATGTGCAAAATTGTGCATTGTGTCATAAAAGCATGGAACTTGGCACACTTATAGTTTATGCTCTGATGTTTTTGGGATGTGGAGGCATTTCGAAAACTTCCCCTGTCGACAAAGCCGGCCATTTTGTTGCCACCATTATGGAAAAACTTAATTTCTACCATAGCTCTGTTACTGTACATGATGACATGACAATAGTAGCCCGTGTACCCCTATTTTGTTTACTATAGTGTCATGTAGAACAAGTTAAGATGTACCGCATAGATGCCCTCCAATACGGAAAATGAGATGGCCAATATTGAAACACGTATTTTAATCCACATCTCTGTAACCACACTTATGAAAACTAAATTATTTGACAATTTCAGGTGTTCATCACGATGTCTTCATGGTCAGATAAACCAACTTAGATAGCATGAATGACGTAATATAAAATAACTTAAATACATTTTCATTTTGAAATACAACTAAACTCGAAAGATTTTCAACCTGTAACCTTTCCTTCACCGCCTCTTCTCTACACACTGAGTGTCATACTCGTCAACACAGTCACCATCACAATGACAATAGGCTGTACACTTTAGAGCTGCTTTCCTACGCTTGCATGCACCTCTGCAGCCCTTTTTGCATCCACAGAACAAGAATTGTCGAGAAGCCTTGCTCGCCATGCTTTCCAGTGCTGAGGTTCAGTCCATCCCCAGTCTGTAGGTGGTGGCATTCTGGGGGCTACCTGCAGTGCCGAACCCCAACAGTGTCCTCCTTGATACACTGTTCGGTCAGTGTGATGTGAAAGAGCATCTTTGGTGGGAGGAATTTACTCCATGCCTCATCCTTTCTTAGCGAACATCTTGAAGCGGGCCACATCAATGTCCTCATTACTGCTGGTTGGATCGTAGAGTAGGATGGTGAAGCGCTCTAAGGCGTTTCTAAGACGTTCCTCCAGTGACACTACCACTGGTGCTTCTGACAATGCTAAAATTTTCCCCTTGGTTGCGAATGATGACAGTATGTCACCTTAACACAACCAGTATATGCAGGGAACATGAGCAGTGCATTTGATTTATCTGGTCCAAGTGATGTGGCTATCTCAAGGGCAGGGATCTACCGTAAGTGCTGGCCCATCCCAAACGCTGGCCACAATGTCAGCTGCATCTTTGTGGTTGTGGGGACCAAGCTGATTTGTATTGTGTGGAAAGTTGCTCAAAATATTGGGTTCACATATTGTAACTAGCTGCTTGTTTGTCACAAAATCTCCACCATGCTTTGTTAGAAAGGCAAAGAGAGTGCTGACCTGTTTTCGTCGACCCGAAGAAACTGCTGCCAGTTCCTTTGAAAGCTATTTGACCTTTTCACTCTTATTCTAATGCCCTTTATATGTTTCTTCCTGATCTGTGATTTCAAGCTGTTATTTGCATAACTGTCCCACACGATATCCATCCAACAGGCCCTTTTCAGATGTCTGTTGACATAGGGAAGAAACACCTTCAATGCGTAGTAGTCAAAAGTCTTGGCACCCGTGAGTCTTAGCATGTTGACTACAACAGCTCCAACAACTACACCAACAGTTTTCGAGGCAGCTGAGAAAATCGGACTTAAGACATTGATGGTGGATAAACCTGGTTCTCGTATTTGAAGAAATCGTGAATATTGCCATCCCGTGTCTGATAATTAATTAATAAAAAGCCGCGAGAATAAAGCACACTTTTTAAGGCTATATCCTTCAGCTTCGTTTTGGACAGTTCCCTTGCAGATGGCCAATTCAATAATGGGAACTTATTTTTCTTAGTCGGGTCGGAAATGAATCTCTTGCCCAGCAGTCGCTCGGTTACATAGGAATTATATTGGTTTTGTCCTATCTTTTCCGTCTTTCGAAGTGAACTGACGACAGCTACGTCATATATTTCTTTGGTGTTTAATTTCAACAGGACATTACTCTGCTCTGGGAATGGGCTATGTATATCTTCCATCACAGCAGCCATTGCTTTAACCTGCTTAGCAAACCTGCACTATAATTTTGGTCAGCTCATGGTGATGGGTCTCTTGGTCATCCATGTGTTAAGTTCAAACTCGGCTCACCAATTGCCCAACGCCTGAGAAATTCTGGGTTATGGGTTAGAGTTAGACCAACAGCTCCGCCAACTCCCTCTAAAGATTCGTTATTTTGTTTGTGGTCATGATCAATGGCCACTGAGGAGTACACTCGTCGTGTCTTCCGAACGGTGAACTTCCCATTATAGAATTAATTAGCCATATCTGGGTATGTCCCACAGAGACTGGTCATGTCTCGCACATGAACTGACAGCCAATGTGGTCTAATGTGAAGAACCATGGTGCAAGTTTTGTTAGACAGTCTGTATAGAGTTGAAAGTTATCTTCTCTTATTGATCGAACATATAACAATACCGGAAGTTCCAGATGCTATGCAATATGCCAGAGGGAGAAACTGGGGACTTTTTCCTTCCCCCGGGCACACCAGCAGTCAATGTTTTCGGGCTGATCACCTGGTGCTACATCCGTGTACTGGCTGTGAGCTTTCTTTAACAATACATTGAGGTTGCTGGCAATTATTTTATGTGCGTGTCTAGTACGAGTAATATGTGACGCTCTTATGAAGGAATGTGCAATA